CGGGGCTCGAACTCACGGACCGCGAGATCGTGACCTGGCTGAAGTCGGACGCTTAACCGACTGCGCCACCCAGGCGCCCCGAGATTATTTTTTTAACGTGTATTTATTTATTGAGGCAGAGAGCAGAGGGGAGGGTGGGGAGAGAGAGAGAATCCCAAGCAGGCTCTGCGCTGTCAGTGCAGAACCCAGTGCGGGGCTCGATCTCACAAACCGTGAGATCATGACCTGAGTGGAAACCAAGAGTCGGACGCTTAACTGACTGAGGCACCCAGGCAGCCCCTGAGTTGAGATTACTTAACAGACCCTGATCGCCATGTCCTGTGTGCCAGGGGCACCGTCGTAACACCTTTACCTAAGCGTTACCTTGATTGAATTGTTATGGCAACCCTGTGGGGGTGGGCAGTCACCTTCATTTTACAGACAAGGACACGCAGGCACAGAGAGGTGAGACTTGCCTGAGATCACCCAGACTAGAAAGTGGCACAGCCTGGATTTGAACCCCAGCAGTTGAATCCGTGGTCCCCACCAGGGGGCAGCAAACTATGTAACCTGTGGCGGAATCCAGCCCACAGCTTGTTTTTGTAAATAAAGTTTTATTGTAACACGGCTAGGCCCATACACTTCGTGTGCTACAGCTCCAGAGTTGAGTCGGAAATAGTTCCTATCTGGCCCTTTATGGAAAAAGTTTGCCAAGCCTCTGTCTAAATTCCACTCTTAATCTTTCACGTTCACGGATGTCAGGTGTAACCTCCCCACACGTAGGATTTCAGAACATTGCTATTAGCCCCAACTGTACTATATCAAAGGAACACAGAGAAAAGTCACTTATAAGATATAACAGGAGGGGCACCTGGGTGGCCCAGTCAGTTGGGCCTCCGACTTTGGCTCAGGTCGTGCTCTCACCAGTCCCGAGTTCGAGCCCCACATTCGGGCTCTGTGCTGACAGCTCGGAGTCTGGAGCCTGTTTCGGATTCGGTGTCTCCCTCTCTCTCTGCCCCCCCCCCCACTCATACTCCATCCCCCTCTCTCTCAAAATTAAATAAATATTAAAAAAAAGAAATAACAGGAATTTCAATATACGTATCATAGAGTTACTAGATTTAGCAAATAACAAAGGGCATTCAATTATACTTGAACTTATGACAAGTAATGTAAACAACAAATACGTTTTTTAGCATAAGTATGTCCCACACAATATCTGGGACATACTTATGTTGAAAAACTATCTGACATTCAAAATTTTTTCAGTGTTTATTTATTTTTGAGAGAGAGAGAGAGAGAGACAGAGCACAAGCAGGGAAGGGGCAGAGAGAGAGGGAGACACAGAATCAGAAGCAGGCTCCAGGCTCTGAGCTGTCAGCACAGAGCCCGACGTGAGCCTCGAACCCGTGGGCCACGAGATCATGAACTGAGCCAAAGTCAGCCGCTCAACCGACTGAGCCACCCAGGCGCCCCTCTCTGAAATTCAAATGTAACTGTGTCCTATAGCATCAGTATATTCCAAACACTGTGTGGGGAGATACTTATGCTAAAGAATTATGGCCTGTTCATCTGAAAGTTGAATGTAAGTGAGCCTCCCATATTTTTTCTGGCCACCCTAAGATGTTGGAGCTGTCTCTGCTAGAGAACATAGTGGGGTGTCGGACGCGGCACTGTCCTATAGTGAGTGAGTTTGAACGTAAAAGTGGGGAACAGAAGCTGTTTGCTCAAGAAGTGGAGAAAGGGGCGCCGGGGTGGCTCAGTGGGTTAAGCGTCCGACTTCAGCCAGGTCACGATCTCGCGGTCCGGGAGTTCGAGCCCCGCATCGGGCTCTGGGCTGATGGCTTGGAGCCTGGAGCCTGTTTCCGATTCTGTGTCTCCCTCTCTCTCTGCCCCTCCCCCGTTCATGCTGTGTCTCTCTCTGTCCCAAAAATAAATAAACG